TAACAGTAGTAGTAGTAGTAGTAGTAGTAGTAGTAGGAGTAGCAGTGGTAGTAGTAGTAGTAGTAGTAGTAGTAGTAGTAGTGGTGGTGGTGGTGGTGGTCGTCGTTGTTGCCGTTGTCGTAGTCGTCGTAGTAGTCCTAGTAGTCCTAGTAGTCCTAGTCCCAGTAGTAGTAGTAGTGGTAGTAGTAGTAGTAGTAGTAGTAGTAGTAGTAGTAGTAGCAGTAGTAGTAGTAGTCGTCGTCGTCGTCGTCGTCGTCGTAGTCGCAGTTGTCGTAGCGGTCGCAATTAACAATCAGAAGGCGAATGTCAGAGGCAAAACAACGCTATCTGCACCACAGCGGGAGGAAGCATAGCGTTCTCCGGATGTCGCGCCGGGATGCCTAGGACAGCAGTGGGAGCTCACGATCTGTCAGCCCAACAATGAGAAGGTGTGGACTCGATGTTGCAAACATTGGGCTGGCCGACGCTGCTTCCAACAGAGTGTCATTGATGTGAGGTTGTTCGCAGCCAGCTTGCCTTGCAAACTCCTGATAGCTGTGACGGTGATCTTCTCTAGCAGCTGCAGATTGCATCGCTCTCTTTCCGTGGCTTTGTGCTTCACGTAGCCGTAGGCCTTCGCGGGGTGCATTGAAAGAGTTGAAGATGCTGCTCTGGGATGCAGTAAGCTCGTGGGGAGGTGAGGAAGCAGGTGCCCGTTCCACAATCTCTTGACGAGCTCTATGCCACCTGCCTCACAGCAGAGATGTAAAATTGGGAGCTTGGAATTCCGAGTGTTCCTAACCTCTTGCTGTCGGGAAAGACAGGTGATATATGGTGATTGTATCATACTGGCAATGGTTCGTGTAGTGTTCGATGCTGACAGAAGCCATCGTGGTAGCCATCGTCGTGAATGACGGAGCAAGAGACCTAGTGGTACCATATTGATGATGGTAGCAACATGCGTGAGCAGAGAAAGCAGAAACACAATGCTCCAGACTTGACAGCTTCAGCAGCGCGGGAGGGGGGGCAGAAACGGGGACTCCGGCAGCAACAACACATGGTGAATGACTTAACAGTGAACTCGAAGCTGGTAGTAGGGAAGTCGGTAAGCAGAATCATATAGATCATAGTAATGAACATGATAATGATGATGGTGGTGGTGGTGATGATGATAATGCTGCTGCAGCTGTTCGTAATGCTGATGGTACTCGTGCTATTGGTGATGTCGAATTGATGGAAACGGTGATGGGGAAAGTTGACTGTCGGAGCTGAAGTATTTGTGATGGTACAGCTGTCACGGTTGAGGTGACGATCATGTGCGCTCAAGTGAGGCTGGTAGGAGGTACGAAGAAAACTTTCATCGCGATGATACCCTCGCGCATGAAAACAATGTACATATACCATAAGCAAGTTCAAAACACCAGGACCTCCATCATCCTGATGATCACTACAATCAGAAGCCGTCTGGAAGCCATCGACCAATACTAGACAACTTTGTCAGCCTAGAACAACTGTAGTCTGAATAAGAATCGCTGTCGTAGTACGTGCACGGTTCGTCGCCTCGCTATGCGAACAATGTCTGATCACCACGAGAGTTCTACGAAGCAGTGGTTGTACTGGCATTTCTATACAACCTGCGACGCTGAGAGTGATAAGACTGCATGATCCAGCGATGCTAAATGTATTATGTCGGTGTGTCATGTGGCACGAACCACTATGCTATCGAGCCCTGTGCCGCCGCCACATCTAGTTAAGAATCAAGCCAAGAAGCTCGAACCAAATAGCTGTACTGCCAGAGCAGAGAGGCTTCGTTGGGCGTGGAGCCTGGTCACTCCCTTCTCACGCCACATCATCGGTGCCCCGGCTGCCCCTTGCGAGACTGACCCGGTGCTAGAACGTCGTGCTGCTTTGCCGACTAGTTCCAAGCCTCTCAAGCCCTGGAGGGGTTCTGTGCATGATCGTATTGACTGTATGCAGGGTCCACTTGCTCTGTGCAGCTCCGTGCGCACAGGTTCCCCGAGCAGACGTATGTGGTGGAGCGGCTGGACCAGACTCTGCGGCTGAAAAGCGGAAGTTGCTTTTGTTGGCTTTTTTCGACATCCTTGGTTTCGGGATGCAAGCAAAAGGCGTTCGCCTTGCTAGATCATTCTAGGCACAGTTGTTTCGGGACCAGTTTGGCCGCATAATATCTTCCTGTCAGCCATTGCGGTAGCTCACGCTAGGCTTGTAGATGCGACCTAATCCTATGATCTGCTTTCAATCGGTCAATGGCTTTAGTGCATGCCCGGATTTCTTCCACTCCAAACCCGAAGCCCTCCGCACAAATCGACAAGTGCAGCACACCCTTAAAAAACCTGTCCTAAACCCTCACACATCCAGAGGGCGGCAAGGAAACCTACACCCTCGTGGAAAGAGGAACAATGTTGAAGCTGGTCAGGATCGGAGACGGGGCGACCCTGCAGGTCCAGGCGCCCAAGAAGAGGAGCAAGGGTGGTTCAGGTCTTCCTTGAGTACCAACGCCAAACTTAGGTTGATGTTGCTCGGATTGGCACCGTGAGAACAAAGAGCTGTGGTATAATAATATGAAGGGCCCGCCAACAAGCGACACATGCTGGTTGAGCCCGGAGGATATTTATCTCAGTGCCGCCGCACATCAAAGACAAGGCCGTGGTATGGTACCCTGGAGCAACCTTCAGACGCTGCTCGTGCTCAGGGCCGTCCTCCTTTCCTTGGGTCCAGGGTGTGGAGATCTTCGTAGAGTCTGGTAGTCTTGGGGCAGATGGGCCTGCACGCCAGGGGTTGCTTCACTGAGTATTGGAGTACCGAGACTCATGATCGTTGTTCCGAGAGACTCCCGCCACGTCTTGGACTTGAAGCATCCTCCACCTCAGTGAGCACCTGTGCCTCAGGTATCCCGGTGCCACTGTCGCTCAGATCGTGCCTTGCCTGCTAGATCCGTGGGTTTAGGGGCTCTTGGGATGTACATCAACCGGAAAAGTGTCTTCCACCGCGCAAGTCAGTCTTTGTATTGAAGAGGAGCGCTCCATCGCCCGAGCCGCCGGCCTGCCGGACAACGCGGCGATTGAGCTGAGGGACGCTTGGCTTCACGCTTCTTACTAGTAAGTGTTGCTTAGGGTCCCGCAGGCTTCAGGGTTGATTTCTTTTGGGGGACTTGGGCTTCTGCAAGAGCCTTCAATTTCCGAGTGATTTTGCAAGAAGGCCTGTGCAGCATTAGTTAGTTCAGGAGTGCCGATACGGGTTTGGACAAGCCGCATTGCTCTTCACGGACTTGGTTCTGGTGTTGCGGGTTCTCGCTGCCTTTGAGGTCTGGCTCATCTGGGGCAATTTGTCCCAGCCCAGCCCAGCCCAGCCCAGCCCAGCCCAGCCCAGCCCAGCCCCTCCTCCAGGCCAACCCCGCCCCCAAACATTCACCTTACTTGGTTGCCANNCCAGCCCAGCCCAGCCCAGCCCAGGTTTATTCAGGTTTCATATGGGTTGATGATCGTACGGGTTCTGCAGTTTTTGCGCTAAAGGGTTTTCATCTTATGCTGTCCACCCCCATGTCTTCATGTCATTCAACGACAGACATCATCATCATCAGCATCAGAAGCCGTTGTTTTATGTTTTTTGCAAAGGGTTTAGGTTTCAGACTTCGGTTTCTTGCCGCTGCGTCAGGTCCAACCTGCTTTGCAGGCGGGTCACCTTAACCCTCGACCTCAAACCCTCGCACCTACAAGTCATGTCGGAAGGCCCATCATCATAAGGCATGAATCTCATATCTCAGCCCTCGGCCGCGCATCCGTTCCTGAAGCCGTACAGTATCCAAGCTTTCATCGAAGTGTCGAGGATGGGGATGATGTGGTCGTTCTGTCACCGACAATACCCAACGATATCCACCTGTGGCTCGGGCTGCTTCGAGGGACCAGTGCTTCTTTGTATTTGTTCAGGATCAGGTTTTGAGTAGCAGCCGGGCGCTCTGCACAGGCCGAAAAAGGAAGACCAAACGCCAGACATCCAAGTCTTCGCAGGTGGGTGGTGAACACCGTGCTGCGCCCTAGCCCTGCTACCGCTCCGCGCGAGCGGCCTCAAGCCACTGGAAGCCGCGTGCTGTGGCTTTGTCTGCAGCCGATATCTTCGCCGGCACGGATTCAAGAAAGGGTTGTTTGGACGGTAATGAACCAGTGTGTCTGTCGGGCCGGTATGAAGGAGCCTAGGAGTGAAGGCTCTTTGCCTGCAGACGAGTTGCCGTACCTTCAGTCCTTGCCAGCTTCCGGGCAAAACAGAATCATCCAGGGTTCAATAATTTTATCAATCCTGGGCTGCCTCAAATCCGAAGCCCAGCGAGGAATTCGAGCCGCGGTCAGATGAGCTCCGTGTCTTCCGTGGCTTCCACGGAGCGCCAAATTGGATGCTGCTGTGCTCCTGTGCATGTGCAACTATAAATCCATGTGATGCTGCCCGGGGCCCAAAGCCGTATTGGCAGGAGTTAGAGATATTGTGCCTCCCTGGAGCTCTGCGATCGTGCGCGGACCGCGGACGTCATGGCTCCTCGTCAGTCCTTGCTTCGACCTCTGGCGCGTGCAGTCCGCACCATTGGGCAGCGTCAGCTGCATGTGAGCCGCCTTGCGATGGACCAGGCGAAGATCCGGCAGGTTATCGCTGATGCCCTGAGTGTGAGCGCGAGCATGCAGCCGATCCCTGCGGTGCCTGCAGATTACCATGCCCACGC